AAGTTATAGATAGACAAAGATTTCTTAGATGAGTCATAGAAAACAATAACTATAAAAATTAGGTAAATTACATGTTAAAATTTAAAACTTAGCACAGTGGCATATGTCTATAGTCCCAGCTGCTCAGGAGGCTGAGGCAGGAGGATCCCTTTAGCCCAGGAGTTCAAGTCAAGTCTGGGCATTATAGCAAGACCCCATTTCTAAGATTAATTAATTAAATTTAAAAGTTATGTTTATCTAAAGAAAAGCAGAGTGAAGAGTGATGTCTGGAAATCTCTGATTAAACAAACATTACTATTAGAAGGGTTTCCTCTCTTGTGCATTTTGTTCAAGTTTTTTGTTTGTTTTGTTTTGTTGTTTTTGAGACAGGGCCCCACTCTGTCACCCAGGGTGCAGTGCAGTGATAGAAGCTGACTCTGTTAGCTTAAGCAAAGCACATTGGGGATTTTCATGCAATCCAAAATCAGGATGCAATAGAGCCTTAAGAACAGAAGAACTTTTGAAGTGCTATAGGGAACCAAGTCGATTCTTTCTCTCCGTATCTCATCTTTGTCTTTCTTCCTCATAGTTCAGCTCCCCTGCTCCTCAGTTCATACAGCAAATCATGGTTTCCAATTGTTCTTGAGGCATGGATGCTTCAGTCGATCCACCCTGAGAAAAGACCATTTTCCTGTCTTTCACAATTTTCAGGGAAGAGTCTGATTGGCCTGGTTGGGTCCAGTGACCACCCTTATTCCAATAAACTGTGACCGGAGACAGGATAGTGTTTAAAGAAACAGCGTTTTCTTTTATCTATAGTAGTGTAGAGTGAAAACAAACTGTATCATATTTGATGTCCACTCTACATTTTCTCTTCATTAGACATGAGATAAGAGTTCACAAAAATTTTGTATTTGGTCACAGTTTTTAATGGCAACAATTATTGTTGTGTTGGTTTTCTACCTCTTTGATTATCTAATATCAGCATCTCTTCTCTGCATGTCTGCATATTGACTAATACATATTAAGGGCCATAAACCAAAATGGTTCATTTTACAAATGGGCACATTTATTTATAAATTATTAGCCAAGATCTCTTCAAATGCAGACATGATTTGTTCTAGTCTGGATATACAATAAAATTAATTTAAATAATTTTAATCAACTTCAAAGACAGCGAATTCCAAGACAATTAGGATAACTTTAAGAACTCATATTTATTGAGTTAACAGATGGTAAAATTAAAAAACAATGAAGCTAATTTTTAAAATCATTCATTGAATTAAAAAATAGACTTATTTAACAAAACTGTTTTTAAGCTGTTTTTTATCCTAATATGCATATTTTAAGATTCCAATTTGAGGGACTTCTAGAAAGACACAAAGTGAGTTTCAGTATATGAACACTCTTCTACTGAATTACTTTTTAAAAGCTTTAGAACCATCTGAAAAAAAAAAACCACTATCAACAACAAAAATAGAAGAAATAAGAATAGTTATTAGGAGGGATGGATGGTCTGCTGCTTCAATTCCAGTTTGCTCACTAACGTGCTCCTGTGGTGTATTACTCCGTTTTCACACTGCAGATAAAGATATATCTGAGACTGGGCAATTTACAAAAGAAAGAGGTTTAATTGGACTTAAGAGTTCCACGTGGCTAGGGAAGCCTTACAATCATGGTAGAAGGCAAGGAAGAGCAAGTCATGTCTTAAATAGATGGCAGCAGGCAAAGAGAGAGAACTTGTGCAGGGGAATTCCTCTTTCTTGTGAGACTTATTCACTATCACAAGAACAACATGGGAAAGACTTGCCCCAGTGATTCAGTTACCTCCTACCAGGTTCCTCCCACAAGATGTGGGAATTCAAGATGAGATTTGGGTGGGGACACAGCCAAACCCTATCACATGGTCTTCTGTATTGCTGACCTTGGCATATCTTGAGAGTTTCCTCTGCTAACAGAGTGAACATTGCTCCTGGCCAGGACTTTATTTCTGCGTTTTAATGGTCAAACATAAAGAGCTTCCCCTCTGATGTCTTCTTGAGCTTTGTGCATGGGTGACTTATAATATGTTAGCATCACACAAACATTTTTCCTTTGATCTTTTCTGTTTTCTTCTTTATTTTCTGGTTGTAAGTTCCAGAAGCTGACTCTGTGAACTTACAGGAAAAGGAGAATTTCATGGCAGCACACTGAAAGCATGGGTTCTTTTCCTCTTGAGTTTCCACATGGTGGGGTCATCTTGCAGCTTTTGGAGGTGGAGCAATTAACATCCCTCCATACGTGAAGTGTACCAGAAACTCTGGTTGTTTCCAAATGAGAGTTGAATCACTTTTGCTTCTTAAGGTTTTTATAGATGAAATTGGAGATAACACCATTGATACATTAGGATACATCATTTGCATTTTACCAGGTATTATTAGTTTTAACATGATGGCATATTTAGAACTAGAGTTATTCACATATAAATGAAGTTGTTTCATAAAAAAAAAATTGGATTATGTTTGGTTGCTCAATTAGTGTTAGAATCTTTACAGTGGACAGTCATAAACTGTGATGTAATTTGTTTTATGGTCCCGGAAATTTCTTGTCTAAGATCTGATCTTATTTTACATTTTAAATATTCCGTTACTTGATCAGTAATGTTTAGAATTGTATGTACTTGTTTTCGTGGACCAATTTATTAGTCGTAATTTGAGTTAAAAAACACTGAGATATAGAAACACATTTATTGTTGAGATTACTATATTAAAATTTATTATTATTATTACTTTGAGACAGAGTCTTGCTCTGTCACCCAGGCTAGAGTGCAATGGTGCGATCTTGCCTCACTGTAACCTCTGCCTCCTGGGTTCAAGCAATTCTGCCTGCTACAGCCTCCTGAGTAGTGGGAATTACAGGTGCCCACACCATGACAGGCTAAATTTTTTATTTTTAGTAGAGACAGGGTTTTGCCACGTTGGCCAGGCTAGTCTCGAACTCCTGACCTCAGGTGATCTGCCCGCCTCGGCCTCCCAAAGTGCTGGGATTAGAGGGGTGAGCCACCGTGCCTGGCCAAAATTATTTTATTGTTATACAGTTGAACTCTTTGGCCCCCTAGCCTCCTTTCCCCTTGAAATAACTGTTTTTATCATACCAATTTGATAATATGAATGTTCTTAGGAATGGAATCATAACAATATAGGAGACATTATATTGTTTTTAATTAATGAAAAATTGACCAATGAAAAAATGTAGTAGATGAAACTTCTGTTTTACAGAAATAAGAATCAGAGATAGAGGAAAACTTTATAACTAGTCTTAACATCTAAGGAAATGAATAGAGTTAAATGGATAAGAGGTAATTAGATGACAGATTATGGAATTCTAATTGAGAATATAAGCTACTTAATGGCAGTACACATCTTGTTGTTATACTACCTCAAAGTGATAGCTTAACATATAGTATATTCTATTATTGTTAAACATTCTTTTCTTGAATTTATAAATAAAATAATGAGTGTTTTAAAAATAGAGAAGATGGATCAGAAGTAAAAATTGAAGTTATAATAAAAGTAAACTTTCCATATCTAACAACTACGTTGACATTGTAAGGTTTCTTTGGAGCAAAATTAAGGAATAGAGATAAATGCAAGACACAAGTAAATAAAATTTTAAATTTCTGGGACAAAGGAAATTTCTTAAAGTACATGTGAGAGAAAAACATATATGCTTTTGTAGATTGCCTTCATCTTTCTTATATAGAACAAGAACTTTTTAAAGAACACAGGTAAATGTCCACATAATTTTAAGAGAAACAAGTCTGAAGTATACTAGAAACTCTGATTATTTCTGTATGAGAGTTCAGTCACTTCTACTTCGTGACATTTTATAAATGGAATTGGAGATAACACCAATGATGCATTAAGCTACATCATTTGCGTGGTATCAGGTAGTATTCGTTTTAACACGATGATATATTTCGAACTAGACCTATTTGTGTAGAAATGGAGTTGTTCCATAAAAAGTTGTATGGCTACCCAATTATCAACTTAGGCATAAAAGCAACAGAATAACAAAGTCTTCCAGGTATCAGAGAATATAACAACTGAAAATCTTTTCTGCAAAAATTGCAGAGAAATATTGTCCAGATCACTGAGAGGTAAGATAGTATAAAAACTCAAGAATAAGAAACTCCAGTTAAAAAGATTAATACTAAGTATTGAAGGCAAAGACAAAATAAGTGAAGTGTAGTGAAATCAAAGTGAATTGAGAATTGATGCTGATAGCTAGATATTTTTTACTAAGGGAGCAATGTTTTCAGTAAAATAATTTTGTAGGGTTTTACGTTTTTAAATAAAGCATCTATACCTAGTGATCACAATGTGGAAAGAGAAAATGAAGGAAATAAAAGCATTACAAAAAGCAGCATTGTTGCTTTATTTTCAAGTCATTGAATAAGAATGTGTATAAGGATAGTTGTAGACAATTTAATGTAGGCACTAGTTGAATTGAAAACAGGCTATTTTCTAAATAATTATCAAAGATAAAAAACATAGTTCATTAAAAGACAAAATGGAAAGAGCACAGTAAGGAACTACTGAAGAAAAGAAAGTTTAAGTCCAATCAAACTTAAAAATATGACAATTATAAATAGCTTAAATTTTCCTATTCAAATGGAAAGAGCCTTAGATTAAATTAAAATGAAAGTCTAATGATTTGGTGGTGTTTAAAAAAAGTCATACTTAAAGAAAAAGTACACAGAAATTTTTTTTCATGGCAAAGCTTTTTCCAGCCTAACATGTTCACATCCAAATTAGAAATAGCAACATGAATATCAAACAGTCTGACCTGGACAAGTTATTGACCTTTTGTTTCTAAGTTTCTAAGTTTGTCCTGTAAAATGAAAGTCATTGTAGCAACTACCTAATAATGTGATTGTAGGGATTAAATTATTTAGAGCACTATTTATTACTTGGAAAATATGCAAGCGTAAGCTATTTTGTTGTTATTGTCATTTTACTACCAAAATTTTATCGTTTCAGAGCCCCTTGGTGACCAGGCAAAATGACAGTTCCCTGCAGCTGGTTCTCAGATGGGCACATCTATTAGTAAGTTTCATTTCTGTATGTGGATCTTTATTCATCCTTACTATGAATTCCCTAATACTGAGGTTTCTAAGAACCTACCTGCCATTGACTGAAGGGTTGTTTCTGAATTCTTTCCCAGAGGCAGTGACCAAAATCAAATATCTGATGTGTTCTTGAAGTTTCAATAAGCTCAGGCTCCCTGTGTGTGTCCCATCTCTAAATATACATACATGTGTGATTGAAAACTGTCTACTGAAAGCAATATTACATTAATATTATCAGTACTGAATTAGAGAAAAGATTTATCAGTGTCACCAACTCCATCCGTCTCTTCAATCATGACTTTTTACCCGACAGGCTCAGTAACAATAGAAAGTTGTTTAAAAAACAGAAGAATTGCTATGAAGGGATTTTTGTGAATTAAACACCCCAGAGAGCCTAGAAATGTGCTTTAAAACTCTTTGTTCCACCTGGCAGATCCAAAATCTTTGGAAGCTTTTGGTTGAATTCCCTCTTTACTTGAAGTTGTTTCTTTAAAAATGAATATGTGGGCCGGGCGCAGTGGCTCACGCCTGTAATCCCAGCACTTTGGGAGGCCGAGGCAGGTGGATCTCAAGGTCAATAGATTGAGACCATCCTGGTCAACATGGTGAAACCCCATCTCTATTAAAACTACAAAAAATTAGCTGGGCATAGTGGCGCATGCCTGTAATCCCAGCCACTCAGGAGGCTGAGGCAGGAGAATTGCCTGAACCCAGGAGGCTGAGGTTGTGGTGAGCCGAGATCGCGCCATTGCACTCCAGCCTGGGTAACAAGAGTGAAAAGAGTGAAACTCCGTCTCAAAAAAAAAAAAAAAAAAAAAAAAAAATATATATATATATATATGTCTGCTAGGTTACCAAGACTTATGGTTAGCTATCTTAATGGCTGGTGAAATAAGACCTTGTAACAGACCCTACTAATGGAACTCACAGGTTTTACTAGGGAAGATATTGCAGTGCCTGTAAGAGGAAGGGATACAAATTGGCATTTTATACATTTGTGAGGATGGTCACCGTTAATGTGTTGATTTGGTTTTCATGATATTGCAGGCCTCTGCTCTCAGAAGAAGTTAGCTGCAGAACCCACATGTGAATCCTTATAGGTGAGTTCACCATTTCACTAATACTGTCTGTGTTTTAATTGCCTCCATTAAGTCCATCTGACATTCATTAGCCAAGTCCTTTGGTTTGACTTCCTAATAATTCTCAGCCCTATCATATGTAAATATTTAACACAATGTTTTAATGTATTTTTCATTTTTGCTGAAGTTATTATTCCTTTCAGTATTATTCATGAAGGCATTTCTGTGTTTATGCCTTCCCCGACTCATTCCAGGATTTACCCCAAACCTTCCACACTCTTTTCTAACAGGAAAGTTCTGTTGTGATACAATGGTAATTATTAAGACAGATTTACATCTAAGTCTCAGGCCAGCATTTCACAACCAGTGATAAGTGGTCACATGAAGAAGGAGAGTCTGGTAGTAGTGAAATTTGTTTTCCTTCTTGAAAAAGTGGATCAAAGGATTCAACCAGCAAGTGGTAAATCAGTAAAAAAGCAGTAAAAGGGTGAGAAAAAAATCTTGACCTTAAGATTACTGGTGCATGTGAATTGCTTTTTTATACAGGTAAATACTGGATAATTTCTTATTGTCATAGTATAATTAGAAGCAATTTCATGTGTTCATTTTGCCACAAGAGTTTAAATGGAATTGGATTTGCTTCCCTCTCTAACATGAGTTCAATGTCTGAACTTGGGCAAATTTCTAAGCAATCCTGAGCTTCAGTACCTCTCCTTGAAAATCATAACAATTGTATTGATCTATTATTCATCTATTAGGTTATGAGAGCAAAAACGCCATAACATAAAACACCTAGCACCCAGCAAGCACTTAATTAATGCTAGTCCTTCTCACCCCCATTTATGGAGGTAGAGGGAAAAAAGATAACAGACAGCCTTACTTTTATTTTTACCTATATCCTTCATTGATTATCTTATGAATAAACTTTAATAACAGGTAAAATTCTCATTATCCTTCATTTCTCAGTCCTTTATCAAATTTCTACTATGAACTCCAAGAACTGATAGGAGACACAAAGGAGAGTCAGGTATTGTTCTGATCTCAAGGACATTGGCATCTAGAAAGGGAGGGTTTTTTTTTCTTTTTTTTTTTTTTAATGCCATTTGAGAGACAAAATAAAGCACTGTCTTAGTTTTAAGCAGGAAAAATGATTTTAACTGGGGTTACCAGAAAAGGTTTCATGGAGTAGGTGGTGTTTGGGCTTTAAAGAATGGGTATAATTTGGAAAGCAAGGAGTGAGGGAATACAGTGAGCCATGACTGAAGCATGACTTGAACAACACAAGTTTGAACTGTGTGGGTCCACTTATAGCAGATTCTTTTCAGCCAAAAGTGGATCAAAAATTTAGTATTTGCTGGATGCAAAATCCATATGGAGAGAGGACCAACTTTTCCTCCATGTGTATTCAGCAGAGTCCACTTGAATATACTGGGATTTTGGTATGCTGTAGGGAGTCCTGGAACCAATCCCCTGCACATGCTGAGGGGAGGCACACTGTAGTGTAATTGAGAGAACAACCATTGTCCCCGGATTGGAAAGACAGGCTGGCATTACCTTGGATGACTCACTTCTCCCTGCTAGGCTTCAACTTCTTCACTTGTGAGAGATGTAGAATAATGCCTGCCCTGTTGGTCTTTCAGGACTTTGGAGAAGATCAAATGGGAGCTTGGATGTGGAAGCTCTTTGGAAACCAAGAAGCACTCTGTAAATGAAAAGGGTATCTTTTTTCCTTTTTTCCCTTGTGCCATAAATTTCATGATGGAATTTGACAGAGCCAGTCATTTTGGTATTTGAGAAATGTTTGGTGAAATACTTAATCATTGGTTGAAGGAATAAATTTACAGGTAAATAAATTAATTAAACAAAGGTATGGAGTAGGAAAGCAAACAATATGAGCAATATGAGAATGAGGGGTTCTCTTAGGAAGTACGAACTAGAACTGGGTGTTAGGAATGTGAATATGGCTAGCTGGAATGGGTCAGTGGTTCTCACAGTGTGATCTGTGGACCAGCAGTGTCAGTGCCACCTGATAACTTGTTAGAAATGCAAAAAGAATTATGAATCTGAAACTCAGGGTGGCACCCAGCAATTTGTTTCTCTCTACGTCATTCTGATGCATAGCAAAGTTTTGAGAATCATGACTTTGCATTGAGGTGGGGAGTTTGGAAATTATTTTGCTGTAAGTTCAGTGCTAAGGAAGATTTTCAACTGTGGGTGGACATAATCACAGCCCTGTTTCTAGGATGATGAAGCAGAAGGTTGAACCTACAATATCTATGACTTCATCATTGAAAGGACAGTTAGAAGTACTGGAAAACACACTGTATTTGCCAAGCTCCAGAGATGAAGATTTTGGTTTTTCCTATTTCCAGATAATATCTCCATACTTACTTAAGAGGCAAAGCAGAACAAGCATTGCTCTCAGGCACTGGGGAAACCCACTTGGTCTGCAGAGGCCAGGCAGGATGAGAATGCTTATGTGAAAAAAAATGAGAGCAGACTATCTGCAGAGAGAATAGTAAGACTTTAGTCCTGACCAACTTGAGGAAACATTAAATGGAACCTTCCAAACTGGTTTAAAGTAGGCAGCTAAGAGTACACCAAGTAGTACTCAGCCAACTGCACTGGCTGCAAACACCTATGTCTTTAGGGCTGGTCAACACAGATGTGCCAAAGGAAAGCACATTACATGGAGGAAAAAGTGAAAAGCCTCAAGGGAAACATTTATCCTAAGGAGGAAAGAGTCAAGACAGAGGCATCATGGGTCAGTTGGGAAGGAGATGGAGGGGAGAGGCAGGAGGTGAGCTGTTCAGATTGCTAGCATGACCAATCCAGATGACCAGTCATCCTGGTTTGCCCAAGAGTGAGGGATATCCCACAACATGAGATTTTTAGGACAAGCACTGTCAAACCAGGACAACTGATCACCTTAAGACTCTGCCCTTTCACCTGTGTTAAAGAACTGGGGAGAAGGCATGATAAAAGTAGAAAGATCACTGCTCTCAACCACGCTTCTCACAATATTGTCCGGAAACTGGCAGCGTAGGATTCACCTGGGTATTTATTAGAAATGCAGATACTCAGGCATCCTAGACCTGCTGAATCAGAATCTGCACAGAAATAAGAGCCCTAAGTGACTTGTATGCACATTAGAGTTTGTCTCAAAAGATCCTGTGGCATCCCACAATAAATAATGGAGCCCAAACAGAGACCAGAAATTATTTCCCCTGGGCTGTAATATGGCTAATATCTAGGTTGACCAGATACTAAGTTAAAACCAGATCAACCTTGCCTGGGAAGGAGCAGAAGCTCTGGAGAAGGTTATATACTAAGGGTACTAGGGATAGAGAACAACCCAGGTAGAGAGAGAAACATGGCTGACACAAACTAGCTGAGGGGACCTCCTGAGCTATTAATAGTAGTAGTATTTGTAGGGAGTGTGAAGAAAGCCAGCAATTGTATGGTACAAATAAAGCTAGAGAAATACTCTCCTGTTATTAGTAGTGTGACTCTATTTTTACCACTTATAGGTTGATGTGGGGTGGGAAGTTGGTTATACTTAGAAATGTGGAGCCTGCCAGGCACAGTGGCTCACGCCTATAATCCTGCACTCTGGGAGGCTGAGGTGGGTGGATCACCTGAGGTTGAGAGTTTGAGACCAGCCTGACCAATGCAGAGAAACCCAGTCTCTATTTAAAAAAAAAAAAAAAAAAATTAGCTAGGTGTAGTGGGGCATTCCTGTAATCCCAGCTACTTGGGAGGCTGAGGCAGAAGAATTGCTTGAACCTGGGAGGTGGAGGTTGCGGTAAGCTTAGATCACACCATTACACTTCAGCCTGGGCAACAAGCGAAACTCCTTCTAAAAAACGATGCGGAGCCACAAATAGTATGCTTGTAGAGAAAAATCCAAAATGATCACCCACTAAAATGTTCAACTTTATATCTTGACCTCATCCACTTGCATATCATTTACAGTATGCAAAGAAAGTTTAGTTTTCTTTCTTTTTTCCTACCTGGTCTGATCTTCTTCATGGGCTCCAGCTCTGCAGTCTGGCAGGGATAATTTACACTTAATTAATAGTGTTTCATTCTCCTCTAACTTGAACATACTTCTTTCACTTTCAACATTGAAGCCAGTAGTTCTTAAAATCAGACATGCAAACATGCATCACTCACCTGGAGGGCTTGTTAAAACAGATTACTGGGTCTGCTCCCAGGGGTTCTGATTCAGCACCTCTAAGGTGGAGCCCTAGAATTTGCATTTCTAATGAGTTCCCAGGTGATGCTGACATTTTTGGTCCACAGACCACACTTTGAGAACCTCTGATTCAAACTATTCAGTTTATTTCATATCCAAAAGGGATTATTTAAAAAGTATTTTAGATTAATCCTCCTCAAACTGATTGATTTTTCCAATCATGGACCAAATACATAGTCCTATTGCACATGACCAGCTTTTGCCAGAAGCAACTCACCATGCCAGTTCCGTCTGAACTGGTTATATCCTGTTTAACAAGATCAGTCCACTGATCACATACTAGGATGTCATGGCAATATCAATTTATGATAAAAGTTTCTAAACATGAACTTTCGTCTGTATTTATCTCACCTCTGAACAGGAACAGTTTGCAAACTGGCACTGGCCCTTGGACCACACTTTGAGTGACATTGTTATAGATGACACAGTCTCTTATAGGAAAATGCATGATTTTTCTCAGATTATCTACCTCCCTCTTCCATCCCATTCCCAATATAGTTCTGGGTATGAGTGGAGTTTTATTATAATCTTGTGGCACCTTTGGATCATGCACTATCCTCTAAATAATTAATAGTTTCTACTATAGAGAGGCTCAATTTGTCTTCTCCCTGGAATCAGGATCACTGAAATATAACTAGAACCCAACTGATCTTTTGGGATGTTGTGTGCTGGCCGTTACCACTACTGCTATAGTTGTGAACATTTCCCCTCACATCAAAAAGGCCCCATCACCTCTTTTTTCCCCTAGACCGCTGCCAGTCCACCAACACTCTAAGTGGGGAAGTAAGAAACCTGGTGACTCCTGCTTCCCACACAAAAGCCATGATGAGACAGATGCTTTCTAAGTCCGATATATCTACCCACCTTCTGCTGCCACCTCTGTACCTCCTGAGTCACGTGGAATGTGGTGCTGAGCCAAATGATCCTTCTTCTAGAAGCAGTGGAATGCTGGAGGCTGCCTATACTTTAGCCGATTGTTAAATTTTCAGGGATTTTGTGAGCCAGTTTTTAAATGCAGACGTTGTTGAAAATTAAATATTATAAACTTATAACCAAATAAATTATATTAAAAATAAAGACAATGCCCCCCAACTTATCACTTCCTATTTTTTGTTCTACACTCTATACTATTTATGCCTATTATATGTGGATGGTGGAAATATTACATCATGGTATTTGATGGTGTACTGCCAGAGTGCTTCCCAACTCTGCATTCAGTGACATCACTTGGGTAGCTTGAAATAAGCCATGTTAGGATTATTTACATCATGGAAATTGGCAAATACAACAAATCAGTGTTTCACCTTCCCTTACCTTCCCGCCTCCCAGCCAGTTGTTAAACATTTACCAGCAGACAGCTTGCCAGAGCCTTCATCTGGGAAAGTGAGCCACTAACCCAATGACCTGTGATAACCCTATATCTATCTAGCTGGAACTAAGCTGCCCTTCCCATAAGGGTCAGCCCCAAAAAGGTATGTATCGAGAAGAGACTAAAACTAAAATCCTAAGATCATCTTACTTACTTGCCCTATTTCTGTCTTTTTCTCTCCCTGCCACTCTGGGATCCAGAAAAAGAAGCTTCTTATTTCCTCCAGAGTTTATCCTTATGCATCAAGGATAAACATTCATCACCTAACATGATCTCTCTTGTTTTCTTCCACCAAAAGTATAAGGACAATGAGAACACATGGACACAGGGAGGGGAGCATCACACACTAGGGTCTGTAGGGGGTAAATAGGGGAGGGACAGTGGGGGGTGGGGAGTTGGGGAGAGATAACATGGGGAGAAATGCCAGATATAGGTGATGGGAAGGAAGGCAGCACATCGCACTGCCATGTGTGTACCTATGCAACAATCTTGCATGTTCTTCACACGTACCCCAAAACCTGAAATGCAATAAGAAAAAAAATTGAGAGGAAAAAAAAAAAGGATAGCCTAATCATGAAAAAACATTAAACAAACTGAAATTGAGGGACACTCTATAAAATACCTAACCAATTCTCCTCAGAACAGTTAAGGTCCTGAAAGGCGAGGAGAGAACAAGAAACAGTCACAACTTGGAGGACATTAATGCACTAAGTTTAATGTGGATTCCTAAGTTATGCTGAAAAGAGAAGGACAGTAGAAAAGCTGGGATATCAGAATACATCTGAATATTGTACTAATGTTAATTTTGTAATCTCCAACTTCATAGCATGATTATAGAAAATATAAACATTAGGCAAAGCTGAGTGAAGGGTATACAAGAATTCTACTATCTATGTAACTTTTCTGTAAACAAAAAAAATATTTAAAAATAAAGCTAATATAAGAAAAAAATCATGGCCTAGATAATAGGTGGAATGAATATATTCTCTAGTCCATGAAAAAAACCCATGTTCTATATCCACTTGCTTTGTGATATAAAAGGGGGAAAGGAAGGGATGATGGAAACATTATTTCTCTTAATAAACTTGAATTTTAAAATCTTTTATCTTTTCATACATAAAACATTCCACTTAGGCTGAGCATTAACTTTCTCTTTATCTTTTTCTTTATAGTCTTTCTGTACTAGTTCAAATCCCCCCCACCCTGAGGGTGGATGTTTCTAGATGATGAAGGAGGTCATAAACAGAGAGTAGATTAATATAATTACCTTATTTTGTGTCTGTTTGCAAATGGGCCATTGTTCACATAGTTGTATCTCCTTCTAAACGGAAGAATAGTTGGAGTTGGGGGTGGGGTGGTGGGAGTGGGGAATACCAGAACTGGGAGGAGAAAGGGTGCTTCTTAAACTTTGATTTGTGTTTGCATCTCTTGGGGATTTTGTTTAAAAGCAGGTTGAGATTCAGTATATTTGGGGAGGGGCCCATTAATCTGATTTTATAAAAAGTTCCCAGATGATGCCATGCTGCTGGTCTCAGAGTAGCAAGAGTCTAGGGTCTTTTCTAAAGTATCTCCTCTCTCCTTTATACATTCAGAAAAGAAAAGTGCTTACTGGTCAGAGATTTAAAAGACAGAGGAAATATACCATACTTCTATAAGACCAGAAACAAAAACAAATTAAACAAAAAAGAAACACATTAATCAAAATAGGACATTATTACACACAGTGATACGAAGTAAAAGATGGACTCCCTAGGCAGTCACTGGATATAAGTGAAGCTGCTTTTAGAGTTTAATTTTAAGTTCTCAGTAAGACTCACTGTATTTAGTCATATTCTTTCACATACACAAAATTCATTTTCTACTAAGAAGGAACTAAAGCTCAGAATTACTGAGTTAGTTGCACAGTACCAATTTACATGAATTTGTTTCTTCCTCCAAAAGTTTGTAATTACTATGGTTCCTGGAAAATGGTATTTCGTTTTTTCAATTCGTACTCTTAATCTACCAAAAAAAAAAAAAAAAAAAAGTACTCTTCCAAAAATTTAAGCTAAAAAAAACAGGTAATTTGCTCATGTCATAGAGACAACTCACATCAATAAAAAAATACATTTTAAAATTTGGAAAATTACAATGAGAGAATAAAGCATTTTGCATTCAGATGTGTGTGTGTGTGTGTGTTTACTCCACAATATTAGGAGCTTCCAAGGTGTAGCATACATTTGCAGAGCCACTGTCTTAGCATTTAAACTGGGAGGTATTTTTTGAGAAACATGAGTCTTGCTTAGAAGTCCTGTAGCCACTCTAGCAATCTTATACGGTACATGACTTACAAATATTGTGTGTGCTTGATAGGAGTAGACCTGACTTTGCTAATCACTCATCAGTTCTTTTGCCCAGTATTTCTTTGTTTTAGAAGCGACTTTGTCTACCAAATATATATTGTCCAATTTGTAGAAAATATAAATAATATTACAAATAGCAAAATGGGATTGTGTGTGCAGATCTCTGCAACCTGGTGGGCCCTGTCATGGTTAGTAATAGCTTTTCCTTATGCTATTGCCACTGCCAAACAGAGTGCTTACGCGATCTTTGGCTTTCTTAACATCTCTCTGGGGATCAATAAAGTGGTTCTTTTTTTCTTAGACGCCAACTTCATCTCTCTTTAAGAATACAATATTAGTTTAAAAGATTGTTCAATTTAAAGCAATCTTGCAGAGATTGTCACCCATGATTGATGCTGGGCGAGTGGAAAGGAAAATGTTGGTTGATTTTATCCTCTGCTTTTCAGATCTTTGAAGGGGAAAGTGGGCTAGTTTTTTAAACTGCAGCCTGATCAAATGTTTGAAAAGTTGTTCAAAAGTAATCTGCTCTTCTGACTTTTATCTGTAGAAATGGAAAAGTTTAAGGCCGGGCGCGGTGGCTCAAGCCTGTAATCCCAGCAATTTGGGAGGCCGAGGTGGGTGGATCACAAGGTCGAGAGATCGAGACCAACCTGGTCCACATGGTGAAACCCCGTCTCTACTAAAAATACAAAAAATTAGCTGGGCATGGTGGTGCGTGCCTATAATCCCAGCTACTGAGGAAGCTGAGGCAGGAGAATTGCCTGAACCCAGGAGGCGAAGGTTGCGGTGAGCCGAGATTGTGCCATTGTACTCCAGCCTGGGTAACAAGAGCGAAACTCTGTCTCAAAAAAAAAAAAAAAAGAAAGAAATGGAAAAGTTTATATATTAACGATTTGTTTAAGTACTTATGCTCATTTTTCTCTTGCAATAAAAATTAATAATAGAAAATTATTAAATTATTTTTATATTTTATATTAAGTACGTTTGATATGTTTCTAGCTATGAAGGCCTGTGGCTTAGATAGGAACAGACAATTCATGGAAACACATTTTAAATTCAAGCAGAGCTATCATATTGACATCTTTGTATTTCTCTTTGTCTTGAAATTATTGGTTTGTTTAAAATAGTAAGTTTAACCAATTATTTTATTATTCTGCTATTAAAAAATAAATTTGCAGTCAAAAATGGTTTGTGTATAGGTGAGTGTATAAATGAATATAAATACAAATAAATAATAATCACATTGCTACTGGGAAACATTATTTCTTACTTTAAATGTGTCAACTATCTTTCCATGATGTGTTTGTGGACGTGCAGGTGATGGCTAAGCCTGATTCTCTTTTATAAGAAAAAATGGCAAATCTCAAAAGTGCAGAATATTATCTTTCATGCAAATACATTGATAATACCAAAAAAAGCAGGAAAACTTACTTAAAAATAATGTCTTTTGATAAGAAATTTACAATTAGGAGCTTGATTAATCAATTTCATTATTGTTCCTTAGCTGCAGCCATGTTCTGTTGGACTATATTGCTCAGATGACCTTGTGCTTTCTTTGCTACTCATACTAAATAATGTGTGTTGTTTTGCATTTTTTATATGAGGAAGCAAAATACTTAAAAATTTATAAAAGTTGAAGGGAAAAGGGGCACTCCCATAGTAAGAAAAAGAAAATGTAGCATTATTTCATCATCTTTATAGAGACTCTTCAGAAAGATACAAGATTTTTTTTTAGAAATATGAAATGATACTGTGTCTGAAAGTTGCTTTAACTACTAATGATTAGATTAGAATGGTAAATTGGCACAACCTTTCTGATGGGCAGGTGGGCACTGGTCATTAAAAAACAAGAAAACCCTTAAGCTGTATAAAGCTGTTCATACAGAGAGATCACTTTTATAAATTTATGCTAATGAAATAATTATGGTTGTGTTCCCAATTTAGCATTAGAATGTTTATCACAGTGTGGCATATATTGGAAGTTTAGTAAATGAAGGTACTTCCAATCTGACATTCAATTCACTACCACGAAGACGTAATGTAGAAATGTATTTAATAATGTGAGAAAATACTAAACATTAAGTGAAAAAGGTAAGTCACAAAATAATTTGCATCAAATCATCTCATATACCCCCCCATATATATATACATATGATGTGTTATACCGTGACATTTATTATTATTTTTTTTTGAGATGAAGTTTTGCTCTTGTTACCCAGGCTGGAGTGCAATGGCGCAATCTCGGCTCACCGCAACCTCCACCTCCTGGATTCAGGCAATTCTCCCGCCTCAGCCTCCTGAGTAGCTGGGATTACAGGCATGCGCCACCATGCCCA